AAGAGCCTATTCCCAGAGCTCTGACAGGCGGTGGCAGAGGCAGAGAAAAGGTCTAAGAGGTGGCAGGGGCTGGTCATGGAGGGCCTTGCAGGCTATAGGGACGAGTTTAGACATGACATGCTGTGAGAAGTGACTTTTCTTCCCACTCAACAGGTTCACATTTGATCTCTTACCAAAGTAGTTCAGAAATGTATCACACAGCATTGCTAGGCCCACCGAGAGAGGGCCCTTTGGGAAGAGACTTGAACCTAAATGTGAAAGCAAATCCTTAGTAAGCCCTAGTGTGATCACCACGGCTGACAACCTCTCGGTACCAGGAACCTCAGACATATTTTCCCTGGTGCCTGGAATGAGAAGTAGCGGCTCATTTCCATTGCTTAAAAGAATTGAGAAGATGGCATACATGCCATGCTGAGCCTCTTTCAGTTGCCTTTATATGTCTGTCTACAAGCCTACATACAACAGGACATCTAACAAGTCTACGTAGAAATATTTTAAATGTGATCATTAGTCTGTCTTCCTACTTTGCGAGAGTGGAATAGCAGTTAGAATGCAAGTAACCTGCTACTATCTCTCCTAACAAAATCATACTTACCGAACAGTAGCTTCACTCTCTGTGCAAGTCCCACCATTGCGACATTTCATTAAACTGCAAGGAGAAACATCACACTGGCCAATGCTGTGCCCAGCAGTGGGGTGGTCCTCAGGGTGCCCCAGGCTTCTGAAATGGTCATCCTTCTCAGTGTGAACTTGAAGAGTGAAAATACAGCCTTGAAGAAAGGGAAAAATAATTCATATTAAAAATTGTAAGAAATAGATAAAAGAAGAACATTTTTAAAGTAACTTTTTTCAACATAATGCATGTCAATTTTTAAGGAAAAAAAAAAACAAGCACAGAGCAGTAAAAATAAACCTTCTACAATATCACCACTCCAGGGAAGACAGTTGTTAATTTTGGTATATTTTCCTATGCTTAGTTGTATTTTCTTTTAAACAAAAATAGAATCCTGCATTAAACTATAGAATATATAGTATTACACCAAAAGTTTGAAATTCATAAATACCATTAACTCTTTTCTCATGCATTAACTATTTTTAAGTGATGGTATAACATTCTTTTATATTTAACTAACCTTCAATTGGTATAGACAATTGACTTATTTCTACTTTTTTGCTATTAGAAATAATACTAGAATGAATATCATTGTCTGTATATCCTTGTACATTTCTAATTATTTTCTCAGTATAAATTCTAGCAGTAAGACTACTAGGGTGAAAGATATGGATGCTTTGAAGTGCACCAAATGTCATAGATATTTTGCAAAATTATGTCTCCACCCCCCCACACTGAAACATCTGCTTCTTCACAATCACTGTAACACAAGAGATCATTGTTTCATTTTTTAATTAAAGTATCATTGATATACAATCTGATGGTGGTTTCAAATTCACAACACAGTATATCATGTTTCATTTTTAAATGAAATAATTAGAATGGTTTATTTTGCTATTTTAAATTGGGATATAACCTTTTAATAAATTTCTTTGTTGTGATTTTTCCTTTTGCTTATTTTGTACTGATTTTCTCTGTTCACCCTTTTTACCATTTATTTGAAAGACCTTTTAATATAGTAAGCATATCAGTTATTTGTCATATATTGCAAATAGATTCCCAGTTTAATATCTGCCATTTCATTTTATTTGTGGTGAGGCTTTTGTATGTGTGTGTGTGTGTAGAGAAGTTTGTAGTATTTATATTCTTACATCTATCTTTTGTCCCCTTAGGGATTTTGCCTTCACATGTGTCCTTATAAAAGTGTTTTCCAGACATATACATAGAATCTCACTTATATTTGGAATCCCCAAATGTCAAACTGATAGAAGCAGCGTAGTGGAATGGTTGTTGTCAGAGTCTGGCAGGGGTGGTGGGAGAAATGGGGAGACGCTAGTCAAACTTTGAGTCATAAGATGGGTAGTTATGGAGGTCTAAATTACACCATGATTATAGTTAATAATGCTTTATTGTATACTTGAAGTTTGTTGAGAAAGTAGATCATAAGTGTTCTCACCACATGCACACACAGTAAATAACTGTTAAATAACAGATGTGTTAATAAACTTGACATGGTACTCTTTTCATAATGAGTATACACCAGGCCCTCAAAGATGACTCAGGGAGTTGATCCGATAGAGCCAGAAAGCCAGAAATGACTCAGAGAGGTAGTCAGATGAAGCCACAGGGTCCCAGAGTGATTCAGGAAATGTCTAGGGTCCCCCCAGATAAGAAACATCAGAAGCACAGGCACAGTACAGCCCTTGTCTTCATTCCACTGATCAGAACAAGCCTAGAGAGCTGACTGCTGTCAATCAAGGATCTCTCTGCCCTGCCAAAACCACATAAAAGAAGCCTCAGAATGAGCATCGGACCTGTCTCATCTCAGGCAGGCCCGCTCTGCTGCTCTGTGCAGGGTGCATTAAAACTTAGTTTGCTTTCTTCACTTGGTTTCTTGTTTCATTGTATCTGACTTCCCTGTGACACCGAGCCAAGTCCCTTCCTTCCTAACACCATCATGTTGTACACACCTTAAATAGATACAATTTTTTATTTGTCAATTATACCTCAGTAGACATGGAAAAAAAAAAAAGGGCTTTTCTACCACAAGATTAGATAAATATAAACAAAAGGGCAGTTAAAGAAGAATGTATATGGAACTGTTTGGAATCCTGAAATGCACTGTCATTTTATTCATCTCCAGCACTTACTCAGGGTTTGTTTACAAAGTACTTTCAAATCAATATGGACATCAACCGTACATATAATCTTGACACTGGTAAAAGAAATGCTAGATTAGATTTTATTTCCAAAACATGTTAGAAACTAAAAGCATGGAATAATTCCTTTGGGTGGAAAAAAGGGTTCAACTTTGAAACCTTGTTCTCTCTTGTTTTCACTGGCATTTTCACTGACAAGTACTGTTCTCAGCATGCATGGATATTTTCTTAGTGTAAGAGAACAGTGATTATTCTTGCTTAATCTTTGTTACTCCACCAAATACTGCTATCTACTATTACACAAAAAGCACTAAAATGCTGTACTGACTGAAGACATTAATGCATGTCAGCTGCTTTATACTGAATAACCAGGTAACGTAACTAAGGAAGCAGGGTTTCCCATGCCTTTTGCAGCGTAAAATGCATTCAGCAAAGAACAAACATGTAAGCAGAGGATGTGTTGCTGGGCACCCACACCTGGGGAGGTCTCCCGCTGCCCACTAGGTGAAACCTCAACCTGGATGTGGTGGGTTCCTGACTGATCAGAGAGAATTCACAAACAGGTTGGACGAGGGTAGATAAGGCAGGAATTCGTTAAAGGGAGAGAAGGAGTGAATGTCAACATCCCTAGAGGCTGTGGGAACTGCCACATGCTGACTCCTAGAGGTATGGTCGAGTGTCTGCACCAATCTGCACTGTGTGGGAACTAGGCCCCACCACCCCAAGGCTTGGGGAAGCCACAGGGCACTGGATGGAATGAGGTTATGTTCAAAAAAACTTCTCAAAGCAAAGA